AAGAACAGTAAAAACACTCTTCCATAAATGGATAAAGAATATATAATGAGAGGATGATGAAAGTTTCTGACATAACTTTTACCAAAACATTAGTTCCCAGATCACAGTTGAAGAATATCAGGCAAAAAAGGATATGCTATATATTTAAAATGCACTTACATGTAATAAAAATTCCTTTTCATAGGTATACCAGAACACCAGCTTTTTTTTTTTTTAACCTGAGTATGTTAAGATTCAGAACATAGTCTAATCAGTAGAAAAATGTGGAGTTAGGATGCAAACATAGAATGTTCAATATATTAAATTTTTTTAGGAAAAAAATAATAGGAGAAAGCCATATTTCTTAAACAATAAGCAATTCAAATGCAAAGACAGTCCATATCTTCCTCTAAAAGGCAATGAATATTTGTTCACTTATTAGCAGATTCCTATAATAAAATCTGTTCTCACATCCCACATAACTTGATAATTCTGAAATAACCTAGATTAATTTTATAAAAAAAAAAACAGGAATATGACCCAACTAACTTCATAACAGCAGATAATACGCCCCATCTGCAAATCATCTTGCTGTATGTTATCTGTGTTTTATCATTTCTAGTACCTGTCTGTGCCTGATATGGTACTCTCAGACACATTAGCTGGATGGAATGTTTCACTTGACTTCAAAAACATCAATTGATATATATGCACCCCTAAACTATATTTAAACAAATAGCTCTTAGATCAAAGTTTTAGGTGTACCACACTACTCTTTTATATAATGCTGTTTGTAAATAGTGAAAAAGTGTGTAGCAATTGTCTCACAAGAGAATTATTTCAAACTTAGATATATAATCTAACAAAACTGAAAAGTATAGGAAATATTGAAAGGGTTAAAGCCAATGTATATTAAACCTTGTTAGAAGGAAAATTCATTTATACCAGTACCTATTATACTAATTGAAAGGAAATTATTTAAAACATCACTAATTTCTTCAATACAAGATATATAGCAATTTCATTAGGGGTCACCACCCAATAATTCCTAAAAGTCAAATAGAAACAGACATTAAAATCTCAATAATGACACCAAAATATATCATATAAGTATTTAAAGTAATATACTTTAAGAACCTATAAAAGAAGGATTTGCTAAGTATGTTAATATATTTTAAATGTATGCTTTCCCCTTACTTAAAAAAAAAAAAAAACTCTGTTGCTTTCTGCTCCAAAAGAAAAAATATCCAACAGACAGCATAATATTCCTACTGAATGTCACCTCTTCAAGGTATTCAGTTAGTGAGTTCATTATAGAATAGAATCAGCTGAAGGTATAGATATAGATACTACTTTATTATTTTATATATTCTATACTTATCTTTATAGTATAATGTTGAGTGTTGTAGTTACACAATATACTATTATAGGAGTTTGTATCATGTTCCATAATAATAAACTTATAAATATTTCTTCTTTTAAAAAAAAAAACATACAATCTAAGAGAACGTTCCGTTTCATTACTTCTAAAACATAAACTAAGAACAATAAGCAGGATAAATTATAAATAAAAAAAATATATAGTTATGCCACTGTAAGTAAAGGAACATGGTGGGAGAGCAGAGAAGAAAGGAGGTGTTGGTGGTACATGAGAAAAGTGACAGGGGATGTCAGTTTGCCTAAGGAATTAATGACCTATCACTTGTCTAGATCCTGGTTTCTTACTGCCTTTGGTCATAAACTAGATCTAATATATGTGGGGCATACTTGCTTGCTTTCAGAGTCTGAAGGATTTTTTTTTTTTTTTGGTTGTTTGTTGTTGTTCTTGGTCTTGTTCTTGTTGTTGTTTTAGAATAGGAATAGTCCCTCTTTATTTATGAGGCTTTCAAAAATGTAGGAGAAAAAAACTACATGTCACTTGGCCTATTATCCATGTGCTCACATGTGTGTATTCCGGAAGATATTCTCAAAGTATATAGATAATTCATTTCTGATCTGGTAGAGTTTTTAAAAATTCAGTCATAAGTTTTCCTCTACTAAAAGAAAATGAAATACTTCACTGGTTCAATAAAATGCAAACGCAACCAAATAAACTGTGTCCCCCACTTCCCACCAGACAGGTGCCCTCTTGCTTCCATAGAAAAGCTAACACTATCCCACTCAACTTGTGCAAGATTTAGGATGTTTGCTTGCTTGTTTTAAAATAAAGAGAATCTTCTAGTAAGTATCAGGCATAACTGAGTGGCATAGGAGCAAGGGGAGGAAGGAGACTAGTGAAAGTACCTAATGCTGAGGGTTGAATTCCATGGTTACTGCACAGGGTGAAAGAGGCAAGGTCATGTTCATGGTTATAGAAATCTGGTCTCCACTAGAGAGTATAGGCTACAGCTGACCTGAGGCTGGGGTCTGGGAAGCTAAGTAGGAAGTTCAAGCACTTCTGGGTACAGAGACAACAAGGCACTGCTCCTAAGAATCCCAGGCTGAGCAGGAGTGATACATGAAGAGCCTGCAGATCTTTCCAGGCTTGCCCCACAGTGAACACTAGCAGCCCCAAGCGGCTAGGCCTGAAGGGGGAAAACAGAAGCTGCAATCTGGGCACAGAAAACTCTCAGACCTCTAGCCTGGGAGTAGGAGGGAGCACACAGACATGTGAACAGTCCAAACTAGAAGCCTAAAGCCCCTACCCAAGCCAAGATACAGTGTCAAGCCTGGGCTGGTCCTACAGGATTAGTGCAGCATAGAGGGGCACTAGCAGACCTCCCCCATGGAAGGGTTATGGAAAAGATGCATACTGCCAGATTTTACTCTGCATCTCCTTTTCTCATTCAGTCTGTAGCCTGCTGCTGGCATCCCATTTACCCCTCTAACCAGCAATCCCCCCACCCCCAGCTGAAAAATAAAGAGAGGAAACAGGAGGAGATGGGGGAGAAAAAGAGGAGAGAAATCAAAGACATGACTACACTGTCACAGTCTTCCCTCGTGCCAGGGCCTTCCAGGGCTGTCCTGCTAGGTTCGGTCTTTCCTCGGGAATCCTGTAGCCCGGAACAGATTTGAGTGGACCAGTTCCGCCAAGCCCGTGCCTATAGGCCTCAGGGATGAGGTGCTGAGTGGGCAAGCTAATTATACTTGTGGCATTTGGGCAGCCGACCGTCCAGTGACACCTTACCTTATGAGGAAACGTCAACCCCAGCAACTGTTCAAAACAAAATGCCATCGCGGGATCAGCTTCGCCGGCTCTTGGCCGGTCCAGGATTGCTTTTCCCACAGCCTCTCGCACTTAGCGCAAAAATGTGGCCTGGGGAGGCCAGCTGTGGGCGGGCGGACTGGCCCGGAGTGGGGGGGGACAGGCGGGGCGGTCCTTGCCAGGTGTCCGTCCTGTCCCCCCTCTCCATGGACAAGCTTGCGGACCCGACCACTTGACTTTTTTATTCACCAAACCCACCTCCTAGAAATAAACTGGGCGGGGCTGTATCTGTTCTCCTTGGGACCGGAGAAAAACCTGGGCATGTGACTATAAAGGGCAGAAGACAGGAGACCCTGGGGAGGCGGGGGAGAAGGGCACGCTCACATCCTGACTCCACTGGGCTGTTGTCTGGGCCACCCCGCCAGGGCCAAAAGCCTGGCCGCCGAGTGCGCGCCGGGGTCCAGCGCCCCGGACAGGGACGTCATCGGAGAGCCCCATTGACAGTGCAGCTGGAGGTCCCGAGCCCAGCCCAGTTCGCCGCAGCCCCGGCTTCGGGCCATCTCGAGACCTAAACTTCAAACACGGCCCTCAGAGGAGGTCACACACACAGAAGCAGCCGGGGACAGCCCATCTCGCTAACAGCCCAGCCCCGCCAGCACAGTCGAAGATTTATTTTTAGTCCCCAAATAGGGGCAGCACTCGATATCTGGTAATTCATACAAACAAACCTTTTCAAACTTGGTCAGCCTAAGAGAGCTTAAATAAAACTCAAAACACGCAGGCACCAACCACCTTTTATCTGCTCGGAACACACCAATTCTCTTTTTATCTGAAAGCTCCGCGGAGCGCCCGGGAAACGGAGCTAATCTAGACTCTGCAGCCGCGGGCCGCTCCTCCCGGAGCCACAGCACAAGCCCAGCAGCCTTAGCACAAGCCCCTTCCCTTCTCTGACGGGCCCTTTAAGGGAGAGGGAAGAAAGCAGCTCCCCCGGGAGCAACCAAGCTCGGGCTGGACCCCGGGCGGGTGGCAGCACCGCCCCCGGGCCTGGGCCGAGCCTCAGAGCCGCGGATCTCGGCCGGTCCGTGGAGAGGACTGCCTGCGGCAGGGCCTGGGCAGGGCGCCGAGGAGGACGGAGGGCGCCGGCAGGGCTCAGGGACCCGCGGTGGGAGAGCGCGGGGCGGGGAAGGTACGAGCCGGCGATCGTGCACCGGGCCGGCGGACTCCGAGGCTGAGCCCGCACGGCACAGGGCTGGGCTGCCCCTCACACACGCCCCCGCCGGCCCTGCACTGCTGCCCTAGAGTCCCTAGCAAAGAGGACCACAGATTAGCACTTGGGTTTCGGATTGTCTTGGAGTTCGGTTTGTTTATTCCTAAAAAGATCATAAAAAGTCACCTCCAAAAATGGGGGCGGGGGAGGAAGGGCGAGAGCGGAGGGAACTGGAGGCGACTCGCGCAGTGTCCCGAGAAAGTTGCCGCGGAGTGGAGGTGGGGTGAGGGTGGGAGAAGGGAGCGGCCAGGTTTTCTAGCGATCCGGGTTTTCTTTATGAACTCCTCGCGCTAAACTTCACCCCGTAGGCGAGCGCCGCGGAGATCCTCGACTCTCGCCCTCCCTCGGCCAGCGTCAACCCCACAAATAGCCAAAGTTTTCAAACCAAAATGGGGGGGTGGGGGGGACGTTAAGAAACCCAGACACCCAACTGGTCCTCCCGACCTCCCGCACCCCGACCGAGCCTGGCTAACACTGAAGCGCTCCGGAAAACTGCGGTGTCGCAGTCAGTCACACGGCGGATCAACACAACACTTTCCAAGAAAACAAAATATTCGCTGGGAAACTTACTTTGCATTTAGTCTCTATTCTTTGGGGGGATGCGGTTTAAGTCGGCTTGTAAAGGAAAGTTCGTTTTGTCCAGGTTGGATATTGTCTACTTATGGATCAGCCCTTGGGTGAGGGTTTATTTTAATTTATGGCTTATGCATTCTTTTAAGGTCGATTTACATGACCTCCGGCTACAACTAAGACAGCCGCGGAGGGCACTCCAGTCGTCAGTCGGCCAAACCCACAATTAAAACAGCCCTCCCCCTAGTCTTGGTGTGACTAGGACTCTCCCCGGGTAGGCTGGTCGCCTGCTTTTCTCTTTTATTCTCTCTCTTTATCTTCTTTCTTCACTTCTCCTTTTTCCTTCCTCCCTTCCTCCCTCCCTCCCTTCCTTCCTTCTTTATGTCTTTTTTTAATATCGTGAAATAAGATGTGATATCAGTTTGAAAGTTTCAGTATAACTTTCTCTAAACCCAAGCCTGCAGCGATAACGAGATATAACAGCGCTCACAAAGCCCTCAGGATGCTGCCCTCTTGTGGGTGCAGGGGGCATTACCACCCAGCGGTCCCATCTGAACCCTCAGAGCACACACGCATTTGCTTACACAGGAGAGAGCGAGAGAGCGAGAGAGAGAGAGAGAGAGAGAGAGAGAGAACTACACACGCAGGCACATAAGCTTCCTCTATCACACAGTTGCGCAAACTTCAATGAAATACCTACCTCAAACTTCACGGAGACTTACAAATTCATTCTCTAAGCCACCTGACTTCTTTTTCATATCACTCCCAGTTACACAGATTAGAATATCTATACGGGGAGGCGGAGGAGGAGGAATAAGGTGGGCCGAGAGGGCGGACAGATTTCCGGACGAATACTTAGGATGGCGATAACAGCTTTCTGTTGTCAAAGGTTGCGTTGTCTGTCTCTCTCTCCCCTGCCCTTTTTGCCTTAGTGTCCTACGCACAGTTATCTACAGCTACAACATGTGTTTTCTCGGAGTGGATTTTGGGGGTGGGGGGTGGCAAGAAAACCAGAAGCCCGCCACGCAGATCTGTCACCGCCTCCGGAACAAGGCACAACTCTCCGAGAGGGGGACGCATCCTGGGGATCCGCGCGTCCACCAGCGAGCGGCAGACGCTCGGGCCCCTTTCTCAGCCTCTACTCCCCCCTCTGCGTCGGCCCCGCGGAGCGCCCTCCTCCCGCTCCTCCTCCCCTCTCCCCTCCCCAGCCAAGTACGGAAACCCGCCCGGGCTGGGCAGCCGCCTCTCCGGCAACCCGCGCCCTCGCAAGGCGCCGCGCGCTCAGCTCGAGTCCCTCCGCCTGCCCTACCCCAGCCCCTCAGTCCCAGCTCAGGGAAACTAACCCCGAAGCGGCCCGGAAGGGCAGAAGCGGAAGGCACCGGGGGCCGGCGGTCCGACCCGGGGTGTCTGCCCCCTGCCCCCTCCGACTCCCCAACAGGTAGCTCACAAACGGGCCGCGCGCTCACGCTCTGCCTCCCTCGTTCTCTAGATCGCTCGCTCCGTCCCGGTTACCTGGGCGGGCTCCAGGATGGTACCGCACGGGAGGGCTCCTTGTGCGCTGCGCCGCGGGAGTAAACGGCATTAAAGAAAAAGGGGAAAGATACAAATAAAAAAAAAAAATTAAGGAAGGGGAGTCGATGCTAGGTCAATTAGCATAGCCCGGGGAGCAAGGGAGCAGAACCCCCCAGCGCTGCGGCCGGCACAACCCGTTAACTCAAGTCTGCGGGGGTGTCCCGCCCCGGGCGGGGGGAGCGCTGACCCGCAGAAGTTTGCCGCCGGGGTGCCAGGAGGTGCGCGCAGAGCGGGGTGACTAGGGGCTTCCCCCTTGAAACAAGTGAAGGCGATGGTTAGTGCTGTCAATCTTGGCAATCAGTGTGAGCGGCCATGTCGTAAGTATTCAAAGCATTTCCCGTCGTGCAACATCAGAAAGTGAGTGGCCAGGGCATTGATCTGAGCGAGGGAGAGGAGGCAGGGCTCCCCTCCCAGACAACACAGGCAAGATGAGACAAGAGGCGAGGGAGGCAGCGAGCCAGGCTGGGAAGCTGGGAGGGAGGGGGAGGGCCAGAGGAAGAAGAAGGAGGGAAGAGCGGGAGGCAAAGGCAAGAGAGAACCGGAGAGGGCAGAGATCGGCGTGAGCGGAGGTTGAAATTGGAGAAAGCGCCTGGGAAGAAAGAGTGAAGCAACTACTGGGAGAGAATTGGAAGGGGACAAAGAAGAGAGTTGGGGTCAGAGGAGAATAGAGACAAGTATTAGATGGGAGAGAGACTGGGTGAGGAGTAAGGGACCAAAGGGGGACTATTAGGGCTGGGGCTGCTGGGAGGAGGAGTCAAGAGGAAGGCAAACTGCAGTGGGGCAAAGGTAGACAACTGCAGAGAAAGAAAGCAAACTGGAGAAAAGGAAGAAGGGAAGTGGGAGAGGAAGATGTAGGGGTGCTAATTTGTGTTTTGAAAAAGTTATGTGACAGCGGAGGAATGGGCTGAATATTAATAAATACTGAGATACACAAGTGGACCACAAAAGTGAGTCACAGGAGATAGAGAGAGAAAGGGAAGGACCAGGGCTGAAGCAGACCAGGAAAAGGGAAAGATGGGTGAATATTAGGATGAATAATAAGGTTGAAAGAAAATGAAAAAGGACGTGGTCAAAGAGAGATTTAAAAAGAGATGCAGGAACCAGAAATAATGAAAACACACCAGTTAATAGAATCTCAGTAAATGGGGGAAGAGAATTTTATTTTAAAAGAAGGAAGAGGAGGAATCAGAGGAAAAGAAGAAAAAGCAATTGACATAGGAGATCCTTAATATATGTAGGTGACATGTTCTGGAGACCATGTGATTATGGAGTTTATGGGTTAAAATGGTTAGAAATAACAAGACACGTACAAACTAACAAAGAAAAATTATACCTTTACAGCAGTAAATAAAATAATTCCACATTTATTATCTGGATAAGTTTGTGTTGTGTGAAATTGGGTGAGTGATATATATGTATAACCTCAACTTTGTAGAGGAAAAGATCTAGAGCTACACTTTCAAGAGGGTGGCTTGGAAGTTGTAGAAGAGGAAAAGAGTTTCTGTCACCCTGAACAGCCTGTAAAAATGCATGTAAGATGTAGGAAATTATATAATAAAAGTCACCCCCCAAAAACCCACATAAATTAAAGATTCTCTTTGATGCCTGTGTAAGGTAGATAAAAGATTTGCAAGGGTACAGAATGGCCTAAAGGAGCAGAGACCTGGAAATTTATCTTAGTGCACACAAGCTGAGGGACCGAGAGGGGAAGGAATAATTTTAGTGTCAGTTAGTAGAGATGCAGAGTAAGAGACAGATGAGAAAACCAGCTCTGACAGCAATAGACACAGAGCTCTCTGGAGGCAGAATGCACCAGGTGAGGTTGACCTGCCTTAACCCAGGCCCAAAAAACAGACTAGAGTTCAGAAACTGAAGTTAGTGGAGAGTCAAAATTACATCAAAATTAAAAGCTGGAAGAGAGGTTCTGACATACCTACATAACTACTGCAGACATCTGTGGAAGAAAAAAAATCCTTACTATATAGCAACTGATACGAGATGGCCACTTTGAGACACTTCATAAACAGGGACTTTGTGGAAGAAATATGCACCAGGAGAGATGGGACAGGAATTATGACTAAGTCAGAAAATTAAAGGCAATCTAAAGTTGCCAAGACTTTGAATAAGATTTCCCACCAATTAAGTGATTAAAATGATAAAGGGGAGAGAGCCTCACCTTCGTTACATTAACTTTTTAAAAAATGGAGAGAGTAACCAAACACAGAAAATGGAATGAGCTGAGATGTCAGTCATATATTGGCTTCTTAAAGTATATTTTATGTTTGGTTTCATATGAACTCAAGACAAGAGAGGAAAAAGAAACAAAGGTGAGGATGAGCTTCTTAGATCAGTGGGACAGAAGGAATAGCCAGATGCTTCTACCCCAATAGGAAATAAGATGTTTGAGAACTGGGAGTTTGGGGACTATGAGTTAAAAATGACTTGATGACTGTGGGCTGAAAAGACTACTAGTCTCCAACAAGAAATTTTGTGTTGCCATAGCCCATTGCAACTTTCAAGACTAGAAAGTCTACCTCCAGAAGCCAGAGCCTGGAGGCCATTAAAGAGAATGCCTAGCACCTTGCAGGCAGTTCCTCCCACCCTGGGGGTCCCAGAACTACTAGGCCTGCCCCTTGACCTCCAAGGCCCAAGGGACAAACCTAGACCAGCGTCTCTAGCCTAGACATGGGCCAAATCTTTCCTAGGGTTTGTTTTTTTTGTTTTGGTTTTGTAAATGAGAGAAGCCAGGCCCAGCGCTGTGTTCCAGAGTCTCACACTACTTAGCCGCCTGCCCCAGAACTCAACCATAGGGGCCAGAAAGAAAGAAAGAAAGAAAGAAAGAAAGAAAGAAAGAAAGAAAGAAAAAGAAAAATCTCCCCAAAGCCTGAAGAGGTCAAAATCGAATGACCTGTCCTAAATGTCTGCAGAGCTGGGGTAGAGAGATGAGGGAGTAGTTTCAGTCCCAAAGCCTGAATCCTCATGGAGGAGCCACCGAGGGAGGTAAAACATCCGGGACGGAAACGCTGGGATGCGACTGGGTCCCTCGGAGTTCCTGCGACAAGTCTGGCTTTTCAAGCACCAGCGCATCTCTCTCTTTAAAATTACACAGCATTTGGGGATCTGGGGGGTTCGACTGACCCCGCCAATCAGATGCAGGCCACTGGCGGGGAGGCAGAAAGTGGGGAAATGCGACATTATCAAGATCTCCGGAGTCCAAGGCCCTAACTGGGCCGCGGTGGACCTTCCGGTTAGGAGCGGCAGGAACTCTCTTTAGATTTTACCTAATAAACTGATAACTAAAGTATATTGATAAGGCAGAAACCCGAAGCTGGTCACAACATTGATCCCTAAAGCTAAAAAACTAAAGTTTGGGGTCTCCGTGCTGCCCTTCAGGCTATGCATGGGGTGACACGTGGCCCTGGGGGCGGGGGTGCACCCTAAGGGTTTCCTTTCAAGCCTCGAGCACGACTGTACAGCGCAGGGGGCG